GATTCATCAACGAATAAATTCTTGTGACTTAACTATTAATTTTGCAACCTTTTTTTTTGTCTAAAAGGATACTCAAAGAATAAATTATTGGTTAGGATAATGGCACTGTCGCGTGAGTAATTTGTTCTGTATTGGACTATTTATTTTTATATTTAAAATTATAAAAATAGATAATTAGTTCGAAAATAGATAATGTATAAAATAGATAATTAGTTCGAAAAATTACATATAAGATATAAAAAAAAGTTTATGTTATAATTGCATGGTAAAATTTTTTGCATACTTTTAAGCTTAAAGTTTTTGTATCACAAGTTGGTTTAATTTATTACATCTAAAAGTGTATTATATATAAGAGAATTTGTGAATTTTTGAATTTTCTTATTAGTTATTATATTTGATTGATGTGGAATAAAAAAATATTTTTAAGAAATTAAATCTCAATTTTAAATGCATATTAAAATATAGAGAAAATTAATAAATTATGATTTTTAATTAGATAAGTTAAATTTTAAAAATTCATATTTTGCTATAGTATTTTGTGATATAAAAACTAAGAAAAATTATTTTAATAACATGTGAGCAACAAAAAAAACTCGTAATATTTCTTTTCAATATATAGAAGATAGAAGATTTAACGATTTTGATCTTAACAAAGAATTTGCAAAAGAAATGTTATCTACTAGATGTTAACCCGCGGTACACCGCGGGCCTATATTTTTACTAAATAAAAAAAATAAAATTTTTAAGATAATCTATAGATATATAGTATACCGCATAACGATATTTTACAACTAAAAATCAAAATTTTAAGTTATATTTGTTTTGTTTAGTGTTTAAGATTGTATAATTATAGTTTGATTATTAATTCTAGGATTTTATCCGTAGTATACCATCCCGTATTAATATTGATCCAAATCCCTCCCACCATATAATCTCATCCCGTGAAATTAAACATCATTTTGTAATTTTCTTTTTAATAATAATTTTATTAAAACATTTCCTAAAGTATTATTTGGCTTTTATATGACTAAATATTTATACGAATAAGATACATGTTATTAAATTACTATCCCAAAGTTTAAAACTAAGTAAGTTTTATTAGTGGGATAAAATTTATACTCATTACTTATATAATTTATTATTTAATCTGAATATAATAAAGTTTTCTTTATTATATAATTGTTTGATAATGCTATATAGTGTTATATATGTGTGTTATAAATGTGTTAAAATAAACCAAAAAGACAAAATTTCGAAAGACAAATTAAATTACTCTAATTGTATAAAAAATAGTCAAATAATGTCTCATGCTTTACCTAAGAAAACAGGAAAAAAAAAAAAAAAAAAAAAAACTCGAAAAAAGAAAACTAATTTATGTTAAAGACGTGTAATTATGTATTGGGCCTTAATTAGGCTTCACTTGTCTTTTCTGTATTTTACCCTTTGGACTTTTAATTGAAAAATCTATGAAAAAACAGAAAATGTTGCATTATAAAATAAAATAAAAATCTCTTTTGAGAACCTTCTCGTCTTCTTCAACCGTTCTTATACGTTTCTGATTTTGGAGATTTTATGTAATCAAGCTACTTTCACACCCAAGAAATGTAAGCTCAATATGATTATTATTGGTTTGAATACAATAAAAAAGCAAACATGAATTTTGTCAAATCAAGTATAATATATGAAAACAAATGGATGATACCTTGTTCACTGTGTCTATTGCTTTTAGTAAAATGGTGCATTCACTTAATGCACCTTAGGCTAAGCTCTACTAAATAGTCAAACATAAGATCATTAGCCAAAGTGAAAGTGAAAATATAATAAACGTATATAAAACAAAACATATAAATTTTTTGAGTCAGAAATTTTAATAAAGTACTCCAGCAATGGCTTTAGCTGAAGAATCTGCCTATACAAATCAGCAGCTCTACTAAATAGTCACATATAAGGTCGTTAGCAAATTGAAAGAATAATAAACGTACGTATAACACAACCAGAGTTAGTCAAATGAGTAATTGCCTGTTTTTGATACAAATTGGTGTCTCTATGTTGGTCTTCATCTTTTGCAGATATTTTATACTCTTAATGGCTACAGTCTCAAATATAAAAAGAGAAAAAGATGTCAAATATACTTCTTTTGTATAGCTTAGATATACACTTTGAAACATAAATAGTTTTTCAACTCACAAAATCTGACATTCCAAATCTGTAAGTGGAAAATCCATATTATATAGAAATTAACTTGTTACCAAAGCATCTAGCATTGAGAGTAGTCGTAACTCATCACCAACATGATCGACCACAAAGAATCTGCACACGAACAAAAAAAAAGTTAATAATATCCAAAGACTCTAGCGATGTATATGAACAAAAGAATTGATGAATATAAAAAAAGAATTGTATCTTTTTCCTCAAATTTCATAAAATGATTGACGTAGAAAATTCAAAATAGATTTATTTCTAAACGTATAAACAAAAATTCAAAGTTTAATCGAATCCAATTTCAAGAAATTAAATCAAACAACACATTAAGATTAGAAATTGGAAAGTTAAAGAATGCAACTGGTGTTTTGTGTGTTCAGAAGTAGTAGAAACAATCAAGTATTTATAGAGTCCGGTAGGTATTACGCTCTCGGGCCACATTCGCCTAACT